CCTTCCATCATTGTTTTCTCTATTCTTGATGTTCTGAGCAATGCTAGGGTATATAAACCAACCGATTTCCACAATGGATTCCACCTGCAAATGTCATTTTATCAGAAAACAAGAAAAACTTCAAGTTATTAGGGAAGGCAACTGGATTTTTTTTTTAATTTTTATTTATTTATGATAGTTACACACACACACAGAGAGAGAGAGAGAGAGAGGCAGAGACACAGACAGAGGGAGAAGCAGGCTCCATGCACCGGGAGCCCGACGTGGGATTCGATCCCGGGTCTCCAGGATCGCGCCCTGGGCCAAAGGCAGGCGCCAAACCGCTCCGCCACCCAGGGATCCCAAGGCAACTGGATTTAATGCGCTCGTCTTTTTCCAACCACGTCCTGTGTATTTCTAAGAATTTAAAGGAAATACGTAATTGTCAGTGATTTTTGTTTTCATTTTTTTTTCTATTTTGCAGATTAGATAGCAATAATGAGACATGAGAATACTTTACAGGTAGATCTTCCCTGGGTTTGTTTTACATGGTCTTGAACATGATTTTAAGTTTTTTTAAAAATGCTATTTTTGTAACCGTATCCTTTAGCAAGAGGGTTTACTGTTTTGATGAGAGGGAAAACTAAGCCTTAGTAAATAATTATGTTATTGATACTTTTCAGTTCCATAGACATCTAAACAGTTGTTGAGGATCCACCATTAAAATTGATGGTGGTAAAAAAAAAAAATAAAAAAAAATAAAATTGATGGTGGTGTAATTGAGTGAAACTGAGAATTATATTGTTATAGGACACCACTTCTGAAAAAAATCCTAAAAGTTTACTGTGAAAGAATTAGTGGCATCTGTTAGATTCTGCTGTTTTATAGGCAAAGAACACAGTACTTTTTTAGATGTCCATTTAACCTTCATGGAATGCAAAACTGTAGATTTTTAAAGCACTGTGGTAAGTGTGTGCGTCAGACTTGTATGAGCATGTAAGAATTAATTGCCAGCTGTCTAACTGCAAATCCAGAAGTTGTTCTAAAGATTAGTGGATTTTTTTAATGGCATCAAATTTAATAGAAAATCTTCATGAAAAAAAGAATAATAATGTGCTTCTAACTCTTATTTGCAGGACAGTGATTTTTATATCAGATGTAAATGAAGCCAAGGTTAAGACTTATGCATTCCTTAATAAATTCTTAACATTTATAATCCAGATATTTTTGTGTGGTTAAAAACTCCTTTCAAATACCTCTAAACAGCTTACACATCAGATAAGTATGTAATAGTGTTCCTTAACAACTAAAAAATATATATAATAGTAAAAATACTTAGAATTTTTGCAGTTTTCTTGCATATGATCTTCTTTTCTCTTAAAATGCTTTTATTAGAAAGATAATAGGTATTTTGAAAATGAAGTAAATTTTGACACTTTGTGTCCTGTCCAACCAGTTTATTGAAATGACTTCACAAGTGCCAAATCTGAGGAATGCCCTTTGGTTTTCTTCTTCTTTGAGCTTTCCTTGGTATTCGATACTGTGGGCACTGTCCACCACTTCTGCTCAGGTGGATATTTCCCTTCTCTTTTCGCTCCGTTCTGTGGCATCCCTCACAGTGGCTCTCCTCCTGTTCCTCCGACTGCTTCAGAATCAGGACGTTTTTGTTACAGGCTCTTTTCCTTCTACCCACGCTTGTAGTGTTTTTGTTTCCCGGCATCCCTCAGATGTCTGATGATTCTGTTCTCTGCCACTGTCACTCCCTCCCTGAAACGGTCATGGCCATGCCTCCTATGCTGTAAGGGTGGCAAACTCAGATGCCCACGTGGGCGAGTACTGTAAATGATGATCTGGGTATTAAAACAACAACAAGAGCATAGAAAGTAGATGGGGATCTTTAAGAACTTAGGAAGAACATGTCCCATCTAAACTATTGCCTCTTGGTCCCAGCCTCAATTGCCATGAAGGAACCAAGGTCCAGTGTTCATTCCCTCCATTCACCAAATAATGATAGAGGACTTTCTGTGTTCCTGGCACATAGGTGTTAGGGATACGGCAGGAAATTGAAGATACCCTCCTCCCCTGGGGCTGGCACCAATTCCAGAGACCTGGGGAGTCGTATTAGGGCTAATATTTAGTATTACCTGATCCTCAAATTTAAGAGTAATAATTAAAAAAGCCAGAAATCCAGACTTTTCTGTGAAATTCCACTTTTTAGAGTGTTGACTTAAATCTTTAAAAGCCACACAGAGCCTCTTAAAGCTGCGCTTACCTTACCTGTTTGCAACATTGGCCCACAAAAGATTCTAACACCTGACTCTGAAGTACCCAAGGCCTCCCCAGCTCCGCCTATTTTTCCAGCTGGATCTTCATCTTCTTCTTTGACTCCCACCCTTCATTCACAGCCCACCGTGCCTGGCCCCCTCTTTCCTCGGTCGCATCTTACGCACCGTTGGGCTTCTCACTGTGGTGCGTCTCCACTTCCCCTCTCTTCACCCCTGGCAGGCAGTCCTCACTGACAACCCAAATGTTCCTTTGTAAACTGACCCTAATCCCACCGTATAGAATTACTCCCGCGCTGCCATTATTCCACAGTATTTCCTACATACCCGCATTAGAGCACTCACTCACCAAAGTGTTTTATGGGCCTTGAGCCCAAAGAAGCTATAGTTTCATCTTTGTATCCTAAGAATCCAGCAGGACACTTTGCACCAAGCCAGCGCTCTATAAATGCTTACAGGATGATTGACCAGGTCTGAAGTCTGGCTCTCTTCAAACTTGCAGTGGTGGTAACCTGCATTATATAGGTTTAGGTACCCCCCCCCCCCGCCCCAAGCACAGAACAAACATGCTCTGTGAAGAAAAGCTTTGTTTCCCAGGTGAACAATTTTGGTGTAAAAATTATCCTTTCGTATAAAATGGTAGTTACCCACTTTTGTACCAAATATACCTGAAATAACTACTCAGGTCTGCTCTATCCAGCTTCCCCTGACTCCTGAGTGTACCCTTTTCTGTCCCATGACACACAGACACGGAACTCCTAGATTGGTTATACTGATTGACTTACATATTTACCATTGATAACCCTATGGAATAGCAGATATTCCCCCCCTTTGTATTTGAATATTCTTATTTATTGTTTTCAAACTCTGAAGGTCATATTAAAAGTTCACGTGGAGGTGGGAGCAAGGGACGTAGGATGGAGATAAAGGACAGCTTTATTGAATGGCAGCTGTGTCCCAACAATGTTTTCAGTACTACGCATGTATCCTGTCTTAAAATATCCCTTTGAGCTAAGTAGCATTGCCCTCAATTTAAGGCCAAGGAAAATAAGGCTGAAACAGGTTAAGTTACATGTTGTAAGAGAGTTCCTGATACTTCTTCAAGATGAAGATGTATACGTAGAATTGGCCTGTTATATACTTTCTGTATAATTTCACCAATATTTCAAACATAAATTCCAATGCACAAAATACATTATTTTTAGTTGTCTAGTATCTACTGAATTTAGATTTCTGAAAAAACCCACCAATGTTTTTCAACCATGTCAGACCTACTACCCTTTAAGAAAACTTTTGAGTATCCTCTTTAGTACTCATAAATGAAGTTTACAGAAGTGTGGATAGTTGTTTAAAATATAAACATAATGACATGTGTGCTATGGAAACCTGAAAGAGCAAAGCAAGTTATATGAAAATAGTGGATGTAAATACATAAATACACATGCACAGTTACGCTAGGAAAATAAAAGGAGGTGGTCAGATGCATCTTTCTCATTGCAGATATGACAGTTTTAGAAACAGACGAGTATGTCTACTTTTAATTGTTTTAATTGTGATGCAGATAGTATAAGCAGTGTTCCTGTTCATGATATGTTTTTCCAAAACATAATTCTTGGTGAAGTTCCAAAACATGAAAACTGTCTTCAACTTATTTAATAGTTGAATTTCTGGAAATTTTGATTTCAACTAAAACTGCAAAACATATATGTGTTTATATGTGAGACAGTTATTAGTTTCCAGACTCAGATGAGCTATATCCAAAATTTTGCCTACATCAATGTCCAGTGAACTATTTGAAAGGCGTGGAGAATCTGGGCAAATACTCACTCCTAGGACTCCCCATGATTCAACAGCATTGCACCTTGCCCACCATATGTTGTAGTGCCCTGCTCACCCTCAGTCTCAGTATAACCTAAAATGCCTCTACAGATTTCTGAAATGTTTTCTTAACAGGCAGTACTGCTCTTGAGGAGTACCATAGATCCATGCCCTCCAAACAAAAATTAACATTGTGTTGGGAAGATATTAGTTATTCCTTATGTTTAAGAAGATACTGTGTGTCCTACAATGTAAGCTAAAAGTATATAAAAATCAGTTCCTTTCTTCAAGTGTGTAACAGACTAAGAAAAAGGATCGCTTGCCTATGTAGTGAATACTGAAAATACGTGTTTATCAAAAAGAGAAAGATGACGGTGAGCTGAGAACACCCAGAGAGGACTCACAGAGGCAGACGGGAACAAAGTGAGATTTGAAGGATATGTATGTAATGATGTGGCTCTAGAAAAGTTTGCATCAGAGATGAGGAAAAGGAGCCAAGGAGTCTGACCAGGGTGAAAGCATTACTGTCAGAAAGTATTGGACAATGATAATAGCAATTAAGATTAGAGTAAAACTGTCATGTCCAAATGGAAATTAAATTGAGTAATTCACAAATTGAATATCAGATATGCTTGCTGCATACCAAATATTTAAGTGTTGAGATGACTGGTGAATTTGAAGTTCATTAACAGTAAAACTGGAAGGCTTAGAGTAGAAGAGAATGCACTTCTTTAATTGAGAATACATTTTCAGTTATGTTTCTTCTTTGGATAGTTTTATTATATTTACACAGTTAAATTTTGGAAGGGACTCCTGGCTATGGTCCATAGATAGATTCATTGTATCCATGAATATGGAATTTGAATTGCTGAAATAACATATCATATGATCTTATGTCTCTTTTGTCTTTGTTTCTTGCAGGTATGATTTTGTAGAGGTTGAAGAACCCAGTGATGGAACTATATTAGGGCGCTGGTGTGGTTCTGGTACTGTGCCAGGAAAACAAATTTCTAAAGGAAATCAAATCAGGATAAGATTTGTATCTGATGAATATTTTCCTTCTGAACCGGGGTTCTGTATCCACTACAACATCGTCATGCCAGTAAGTACCACTTAGAGGTCTCCTTATTTAATTGGGTTAGTTGTTTATTTACCTAAAAAAAAAAAAAAATCATGAAAAACAAAAAAAATGTCCATAACATTTTTCTTTTTATGGGGAAAGGTAAGCTTACCATTATTTTTAAGATCAATGTTTTGGTAAAATATATTTTAAAAAATATATATTTTAGTAAAATATATTTTAATATATAATATATTTTACCAAAATATATTTTTAATATATTTTGGTAAAATATATTTTAAATATATTTTAAAATATATTTTAAACTACTATAAATATATATTATAGTAGTTCTCAGTTTTTCCTACATATCCTAATACTTATCCTGCTTAAATAATATTTCTGATTCTTTATGGTTCTAAAAAGAAGTTTTGAAATTCTCACTGGACTTTAAGAAATCTACTTTGTCTAATTACAATTATTACTATAATTTTAATTATATACTGATTTCTTGTACCCTTTATGTATTATTTCAAACATTTGTATCTGTTTGTTGCATCACACCAAAAATATTGAAAACCCTTTTACTGTTTTTCTCACGTTGCTTATAGTAATGCTGAAGTACTCAAATAAATATGACGGTGTCAACCTAGTATGCTTTTTAAATATGACCAATAATATCACTATTTAAAATGATATAGAAGATGATGTCTTCAATGATTTTGATAGGAGATATAGCAAATCAGCAGGCACACTGGGAACATAACATAGTTTGGGTTAAATACATTAACCCTTGTGCTCTTACTGGATATAAGAACAATGCATATGGGGATGCCTGGGTGGCTCAGTCCACATTGGGCTCCCTGCTTGATTGGGAGGCTCCCTCTCCCCAGCTGTGTGCATTCTCTCTCTTTCTCTCATTCTCTTTCTCTCAAATAAATAAATAAAATCTTTAAAAAAAAAAAAAGAAAGAAAGAACAATGCGCACCACAAGCCAGCAGTCCACGAAGCCAATTAGAAAATATGGAGTCAGTATCAGACTTTATGTACTATATTCACATTGTAATTAATGTCAAGTAGACATTTCCTTTTTTGGTTACCCAAACTCAAGTCTGTTGAGTTATTATTTGAGTTATTATTATTGAGTTATTATTTAAGCCTTTGATTAGGCTAAGAAATTTAAATATTGTTGGAGATATAGCTAAAGACAATAAAATGCAGACTGAAGTTTGAAAATGATCATTTATTCATTTAGCAACAGTAACATTTGCTGTGTGAAATCAAAGTTAAGGGAGATAGCTCTGATATATGCCATAAATTTATATGGTGAATCTTGATCAATTACCTTATGGAGATTATTTAAGATATCCATACCTCTATTCCATTATGAAAACTTTTGCCAATAAAGATTCTCTACCATTTTTTGTTAATTTCCAAAACTTTTAATAATTTAATATTTTTATTTAAATTTAGTAAAATTGAAAAATTTTATCTAGAAATGAGAAGTGTTGGGACGCCTGGGTGGCTTAGCAATTGAGCACCTACCTTCAGCCCAGGTGATCCTGGAGTCCTGGGGTTGAGTTCCACATCGAGCTCCCTGTATGGAGCCTGCTTCTTCTTCCGCCTGTGTCTCTGCCTCTCTCTCTCTCTCTGTGTGTGTCTCTCATGAATAAATAAATAAATAAAATCTTAAGAAAAAAAAGAAAGAAATGAGAAGTGTTAATAGTAGACAAGAATGAGCTTTTTAAAGAACACTGTTGGGACGCCTGGGTGGCTCAGGGGTTGAGCGTCTGCTTTCAGCTCAGGTCATGATCTCCAGGTCCTGGGATCGAGTCTCACATTGAGCTCCCCATGGGGAGCCTGCTTCTCCCTCCGCATATCTCTCTGCCTCTCTCCCTGTGTTTCCCATAAATAAATAAATAAAATATTTTTAAAAAAATAAAGAATGCTATTGATAGGTAATACTTTGATACTGTGATGATTTGAGTAAAGCCATTAAGAGTCTGTTTAACACATTTTCACAGTATCTTTCTTTTAGAGAATTTATGAATTTATTTTTCTTTAAGTCTGAGATGGCCTTGGGAGACATGACTACACTTTTACAAAGTTATACAATCCTTGTTTTCAGTTTGAGTTTTAGCACATTGTCGTGTTCTTAAATATTTAAAGATGAAACAATTAAATTTTACTCTAAACATAATGGTGGGTCTTGTATCACAGCAAAGTTTTTGTTTATCCCAAATCTGTGACAAAAAGAAACTTGAAACTAGAAGATACTTGTATTTTCAATAACTGTTCTCTTCATATTATATCATTTTAAATATGTATAACTAGCAATCTACTTATGTTACTGAATAAGACATGAGAGCTAAAATATGCCACACCAAGGGTTTTTTCCTAATTTTCTAATTACATGGGTTGGTTCTATAACCCAAGGAGTTGTATGATTTAATAAAATAAAGATAAAAACATGGGAAATTTATACTGTTGTACTCAGTTCTGAGTGCATTATAGGTTTTTAATAGATACTTGAATGTTGAGTTGATCATACCATTCACTCACTCCAGCTTAACAGAAGATTCACTGACACCTGTTTTTTTATCTGTGAGAGTATATCAGGTTCCTGAGCCTTGAAATGAGATAAAGCATCAGAAGGGTCTGCAGTAAGTACCACCCATCCTCTTGACTCCAGAAGGGCCCTGCCACCTGGGTTTGACCTGCTACTAGAGATTTACTGTGATTAAGATCAGAAACTGCCTCTGAGAGGCTTTAGAAGAAAGGTGTGTCGCCAGTTACATCCTTAAAATTAAACTCAGTGCATCTTTAAATGGTTATTGAATTCCTTTGATAAATTTGTAAATGTGGGCTTTGGTGGGCTGAGACTCGACATCCTCCCAGTATCTATGAAGCCACGTTTTGCATGGCACCTAAGTTGACCAGTGATGGGCTGCAGAAAATGGAGATATGTGGAGATATGACATAAGAGATCTTACATTAATTTGCCTTAGCAGCCATTGGACTGCAAGGGACAAGGAAACGTGACAGCATGGTCCTACATTGCCTAATAAGTGTCATTTGGTGATTTTAATTTTGCCAGGTTGCTCTCCGGGGTGATTATTGATACACGATTTTTAAAATTCTCCCAAGCTTCGGTTCTGTTGAATTTGAATTTACTTTGGCAGTTTATCTGCCACTTCTTCACCTATCCTTTGTCTTGGTTCCATGTTTCCGTCTCTTCTCCCACACAGCCACACTCCTGCTCTCAGTAATTTCCGCAGAAGGGTGAAATTTGGTTAGTGAAAATTTGACAAGTGCTTTTACTGTTAAGCCTTCCAGAATGTTTTGAATTAGCATTGTGTATTGCTAAATGACATCCCTCCCTCCATGCCTCTCCTCCCCACAACATTATTATTAGTAGAGTAACAATCCATCAAACTTATCTGTATATCGATGAATGAAAGCCTAAGGGAAGAAATTTTGCCTTTTCAAGAACAGACTTAAAAGTTCTTGTGGCATTTGCTCAAGGGCACATCACATGCCCCTGGAACCCCTGGATCATCTCGATGCTTTTTTTTTTTTTTTTTTTTGTAAAGGATGAACTTCATAATTAGCACACCCAGCTTCCCCAGAGGCATTGATCTCATTGACTGCAAACCCACCATTGCAAAATAGGACCTTAGGGACCACTGGCCACAATGCTTTCTTAATTTTATAATGATAAAAATGATGCAAACCACAAGTCCTTAATGGGCTGTTAACACCCCGAATTGAGGTTTGCTACTGAGAGCCTAGCACAATGCCAGACACATTACAGCTGCTCCACTAGTATCTCATGGAAATTCAGCCCCTGCCCCTTAGAGTTGTCTAAACCTATGTGGAGCTGCACTAACTTCTCATTTACTATATGTTATCTTTGTTACTGTTGTATAATATTACTAATTCATAAACTAGAGCCCTGAAAAATCACAATAAGGACACCACGTGTTCTCCTGGTCATGACATATTAGAACTCCTTTCTTCCTCTCTCTTTCTCTTCTTTTTCTGTCTTTCTCTCATTTTGGTGGGGAGTGGAACATCTAGAGTTGAAGACAGTGGTACATGCTTATGACATTATAACCATTAATGTGTATAATCATAATCAGCTGCTTTTTTATAATTAATATTTTGCATCTATTCACACACCTGCAGAAACTTTGAGTTTAATCAGTTTTTTTCTGGGAAAATTATGGAGAAAGTTTATTTTAATATTCTTTACTTATTGAACTTTGCAAGTAAGGGAGGTCACTCTGCAGCCTTCTTTAGGAGCATGAATGGATATGTTTGATTCTAGCCAACCTTTAAGATTGGTTGATTCTTTACCAACCTTTAGACAGTATGTCTTAGCAGTAGTAGTTTTAATACATTAGTTAAAATTTTCAGAAACAGTGTTGCCATTAAAATCTATGTCCAGGGATCCCTGGGTGGCGCAGCGGTTTGGCGCCTGCCTTTGGCCCAGGGCGCGATCCTGGAGACCCGGGATCGAATCCCACGTCAGGCTCCCGGTGCATGGAGCCTGCTTCTCCCTCTGCCTGTGTCTCTGCCTCTCTCTCTGTATGACTATCGTAAATAAATAAAAAAAAAATTAAAAAAAAAAGAAAAGTAAAAAAATCTATGTCCAGCTTTGTAAGATGATTTACCCACTCGTTTCCTCAGTTAATGAGTGAGAGTACATACAGGTTAAAAAAAAAGGATTCCTTACTACTTTGAATAAAGTGATGTTGATTTAATATTTAAAGATTTTACATATTCTTTTATATGTAGTACTGTTCTTTGTAATATTAAGATTTTAGTATCATTTTCTTGATTCCTAGATATCTTAGAGTAAAACATAAATAAAATTTATCTTTCCATTTTACGATTTTAAATTGATATCATAGGCTAAGTTTTACCTTAGGAAAAACTTTGGCATAAGAGATTTGGCTAAAATTATAGCTAGTTGTTTATAGCTTTTTAAAAAAGTTCTGGATTTATTACATACATTTAAAATGTATGCTTCAATGTTA